AATACCAGGATAGTTGGCTCGGAAAAATGCATTGCCCTTTCCTTTGAATTATCCATAGTTTTATCAAAACATGATTTGTCGTTGTTAAATTGTTGAAGGTTTCATTAATAACCACGTTCGTGACGTTGGTTACCTTCGACCAAAAGATACTTATGATATCACTGGGAAGAAAATGCTTGAATCAACAGGGAGGGCAGGGCAGGCAAAAAATAGAAAAGCTTCCACTACGAATTTTGTGCGCGTTCCCGCATACGAAACGGGCTGACAAATGAGCTTTATAGAGCAGAGAATAGGCAAATTCTTAGCATATGCCGAGAGCAGAGGGAAAATCTACCCAATTTATTTAAAGCCACAAAATATAAGAGGCGACCCGGGCACGCCCTGTCCGTTGGGAAATTTTTTCGCAAAATACGACTTCCCTTAACATTTCCTCCGCTGATGGACCCCCTTCCCCGTTCCCCATCCCACCAACCATTTCTCCACTTTCTGTCGCTACAAAGTTACTGAAGTTTTTACTTCGGAAAATCCTTCACTTTCCCCCTGGAAAAATGGTCGAGGGGGGGGGGCAAGAGCAACTCCAGTGAAACGGGGAAAACCAGGCAAAGTCAAAAGCCAGAACCATCTTCTCAAATATGATTACAACCCCCTTCCCCTTCGCGACCAAATACGCTGCTGGTTCCAACGTATTCGTCTCCTCGCTGATGGTTCCCAACGTAAACGTGCCCTGAATGGCGATGGACCATGACCATTAAATTTCCGATAGAAACAACTTTCATGCACCCAATCACCCGACAAAAACAGGGCTTCTGTCAATCCGAGTTAGGGTCCAGAGGTATTTTCTCATCGCACTTCTGGACGAGCATTGATAGGGAGGAAAGTAAGGAAAGAGGGAAGGGAAAAGGAAGGCGAAAGATAGAAGGATGGACAAGGCAAGTTCCGTGGTTGACAGACACCCTGAGACGTGAAAAATTAATCCTGGGATGTGCACCAAACCCAGTTCAAAAAAGCGGGAAAACGGAATTTGAAGGCGTGAAGCCCATCTGAAAGGCGCTCAATGTGTTCACCCATTGTGGGCCCGATTTTAAGTGTATCTCTGCATTATTCTATCTTCTTTTTTTACAATGCAATAGGAGTAATACTAAATGACCTTTCTTGGTTGCTGATAACTATTTTCCTATCTGAAAACAATAATAGTATTTTCTCTACGATGGAAAATAGGGCTACTTGGTAAATTAAGTAAAATGATTCATCTCCTGCTGAATGTGAGCTGTACTGCCGCACACGGTTCCTAGTAGGTTAATGTATATAAAATATAAATAGAACTTAGGAATAAAGCCAGTTTAATGAATCCAGTATTACTGGCCTGTTCTGTGGAGTAGAAAAGACATAATTAAGAATGATAAATAAAAAAGAAAAACTAAATAAGGGAAAGCGAGGGTACTCACCGACTTGAGCCTCATCCAATGCCGACGTGACATCGATTGCACTAGCCGCATCGGGCACCGCGAAGGGTCAGCGTCGGCCGACGTGCGTGTCGCGACGTGTGCACTTTATTTTTCGCGAATATTCGAATTCGATTTCGTGCGGCTTTACTTAGGAAAACGTTCCACGATTATTCTCCTGGAAAAATTTGAGATCAATAGATGCACATGTTTTCATTGAGGGGATTGGGAACAGATGCTGTTAATTATTGGCACTGACGGTTCTGATGAGTACGCTGAAAAAAACTATAAATATCGATTGCACGTTTTGGGGTGACGACGCTCGGCCAAGATACTGATATAGTCTCGTTCGCCGCTGGATACGCGGGGCGTCGTCCAACTCTGCTGTGTCTGTGCGGCCTTATTTTCTCTCCTGTGCCCATCGGACATGCCTTTTCTTTTTATTTTCTCACAGCAAACGACGGGTCTGATATCATTTCGCCTCGTTCAGCCGGTGTTCTGACGGTGACTTTCGTTGTCACGAGCGTGCTCTTGGTCCGACGTGTTGTATTTTCCAGTATCTGGACAGCTCCATGTAGTTGATGGGAGAAGGTAAACGAGAAGCGATCTCAGATAAGGGCAGGAGGGAAAAGAAGGGAAGCAGCGAAGAAAAAAGGGCGAAAGGGAAGAGACGCGCTTCTCGCCCGTTAGTCAAGTGCCTTTGGGACGACGCGGACACGCCTCGTCATCAGCAGCGAACCATTCTGCACGTATTGATCGGACTTCAGAAACGTCGATTACATTGGATCGATACGTATCTCATTTTTACGTGCGTCTTGAGGCGAAAGTTTGCTTAGTCCAAGTAGGTACGCTCTCCGCGACGCACAGTCCAGAGGCAAATGCGCAGATTCACTCCGCCCGATGCACCAAGCATTATTACCATAGTTAGGGAGTTAGTAAGAGTCCGTCCGTTGGTTTGAGGACCAGGAACTTTTTGTTCCCAGTCGCTCGCCATTTTTTTGCTCGCAGAGGCAAATACGGCCCTCCCCTCTCCCAACAACGAGCAAGTACGAGCACCCCCATCTCCCCTTCTCCTTATAGGCGTTCCGTGAAGCATGGAAACATAACTATGATAAAAAAAAGTTCTCAAACCAAATACGATCCCCCAACTTCGCCACGGAACCAAATCACGATTTCCTTCCCATGAAGAATCACCAACGATTATTGTATTTACTTTATTTATTTTATTGAGTATTACACTCAAGGGTGCGCCACAAGTTACGGGAAAGTGAAACCAACACAGTTAGTGCATAATACAGCCAGGTACACTGATAAAAAAGAATAAAACATTTAGAAACAACACAATATCATTTGAATGAGTAAGAAAAATTAGGAATAGTTCAAAGGAAATCTAGGTAAAGCATATAGGCTGTGTTCCGAATCGCGATCAGAAAAATCAGAAAAATTACCGGGACCTTCCCTGTGTGTAGTGTAAGGCTGTTTTCCCCTTCAGGCAGATGAAAGAGTCCCCGCGAGTTCCTGGTCGGTTGGTTACATAAGAAAACGCACAGGTTTTTAGCGAAACAGTACTGGGGCCTTGCTGACAACTATGAAAGCCGTGGGGGACGAATTTCGAATTCGTCCGGGACCCCAGCGCGAACAAACCAAGGGGACCTCAGCGCAGGGTTTCCACCCCTCCGGACCTCAATCAAAAACAACTGGTAGCACTCTAGTTCGAGCCGCTGTTTGGCCGATTCTGCCAAAAGCTCATACTTTTAATTGAACCAGCCTACAGCCTCCTATTACCAAATGGTATTATCAAGAGAAGGTGCCTAAGACATATTGCCGAAGTACGTGACCTGATCTCAATCATGAATAGCAAATAGTAGACGGGAGTATTCAGTTACTCCCTAAATACAAAGTTTGACCTCAGCTTAACGCCACAGTTTCTTATCCATCTTGCCAGAATAGACCTCACCGGTTGTGAACGAAACCAACCAAGCACAGAAACACTGACCCAGAACACCCAGCTTTCGTTTGAGGACTGAAACACGAGAAAGAAGAACGAGAACAGTTAACGATGCGTTTAAACAGAGTCAGCGTATTCTTTAAGTATGCGCAAAAGAGGTCCAGCCTTGCACTCAGCCTACTCTTGATGTTAATTGGACTTTTCTATTTTTTGCGCTTTTGAAGAAACGTAAGGCTCCAGTAGCGAGCTCGAACCATTCTTGCGCAACGACTTAAACACTATATTGAACAGTTACCATTGATTAGTTTTGGTAGATGTGGTCATAGTGAAGATTCAACCCACCCAGCCTTTCAGTGGTTGGACTGAAGCTCCAGTACTTACTAGCCCTTAGCTTGACCTCCTTCCGAATAATACGGAAGCAAAACACCAAATCAGCTAACTCCAGCTAAAATCATTGTCTATACTGCAAACGTATGCTAAGGACAACGGCCCTCAGTTAGAACCCTGGCTTGTTGGAGGATTTCGTACCGACCAGTACAGTTTTTGGACCGAAACCAAAGTAGACGAGTGAATACGTGTTGGACTTTCTCAATCTTCAATACGTCCTTCCTTAAAGATGGGCTCCATACTTGTGAGCAATACTCAAGGTGTGGTCGGACATACGCTTTGTAAAGCCGCAATAGGGTAGTCGGGTCTGAACTTCGAATATTTCTCATTATAACAAACAGAGCAGAGTACGCTTTTTTGATAATGCAATCAATATGACTGGAGAATTTCAAATTCGAGTCGAAA